CCCCAAAACCCCAAAACCCCAAAACCCCAAAACCCCAACAAAAGAAATGAATGAGTAAGAAGGGGATTTTAAAGTTGAGAATAAATTGATAACGTTTATATTTCAAATAATTTCATTAAAACTTCTCTTATAAAATAAAATGTCTAATAATTTCCTAGTCCCTGTGACTGCAGCCTCTCAAAATAAATCCAAATTCTCTCATAAAAAGCATCCTTCATAGCTAGCTGAAGTCTTGAATATGTCCCCCAATAGAAACAGCAATCAGAAACGTAAGCAACTATCTGGGTAAAAGTATACAAGATTGTAAAATTTCAACACAGAGAATTAAAACACTAGGGTAATGTAGCATGATAGTATTGTCAATTCTAAAGTGTCCACCTCGGTTATCTTACAAGATTTCAAGAAACTAAATAATTCATGCTTTGATTGTGGTATGATTTTTTTTTAATTATCTATATTATTCTACAGGTGTGCCCAATCCATAATGGGTGTCAATAAATCTTGGGATATTTTTATGCTTAAATTGTTCTGGTGTGCATCGCAGCTTTGGCGTACAACACAGTTTTGTGCGATCTTTGATGATGGACTCTCTATCCTAGCTTTAAACTAGATATCTAGAATTTGGTGGAAACAATTCACTAAAGAGATACTTCAAGTTCTATGATCTTAATGCAGAGCCAGTTAATTAAAGGTATTTCAGCAAGGCAGCAGAATTCTACAGGCAAAAACTCAAAGAGCAATGTGAAAAGCCATTTTCACAAGATTAATATGAGTAATTTGATCCAATAAATCTAAATGACAAACCAAACTTTGATGAAGGTAGAATAATACTTACTATGAATATGGCAAGACACTCTGTTGACTCGAACATAGTTTTTTAAAACTTAGAAAATTAGCAAAATTCCTAATAAAACCAACTAAGAAAGCGAGGAACTATAGTCATATCTTTAAACGAAGATGAGATTTTATATAAAGGTAGAGGGAGATAAGAACTTACTGATTCCTCTCCAAATGATGTTCAATTGAATAAAGTCAATTATCAATAACTCATTCCAAATAACTCAGTAAAATAATTGGTATTTGAAGAGATTAAACAAGAAAAAGAGTAAATGCTATTCAACAATGTCAAAAACTCACATTAAAATAAGGCATTCTCTAAATCAATGATTGATAATAATCATAGTCAAAGTACAGCTTAGCTAAAAAGAGTTGAATCATCCTTGATTGACACAATTATTGAAAGCACAAGACAAGCAAGTGATATGGCAGTTCAAAAAGGTATTGAGTTGCAAAGAAAACTTTAGGAAAGTAATATAAGCGAATAAGTATCAACAAGATCCTCTGATATACTCAATAAGGGATTAGATATTGGAGCATCTCTATATGTAAGAACGAGTGATAAAATTGAACAACTGAATGTAATTTCTTTAGTATTAATCTCCTGTTTAGAATAATCCAAGATTTCAAATGATTAAGAATAATGCAACATAAAGTATAAAATCTTTTGGCAATAGGTTTTGGGGAGTAAATTTTTTGCAAGTTTATATTTATTAATAGTTGATAGCTGAATCATGTGGCGGTGGTGGAAATTACAGTACCAATTAAGATAGACCAGAGGCAAGAATAAGAGAAAATGAAGTTGATTTATTCGAATTAAGTCAAAATCACAATCAAAGTCAATGTAGCTCCAATTCGAGTAAATAATAAGGAATCAGAACTCAAAACTTGTAATTTAACCAGAGAACTCAACGATGAAATATTAAGAAAAGCCTCATATAGAAAAATAAATATCCCAGCTACCGTATTATTGAGTACTTTAACTATAAAATAAACTTAATCTTTTCATATACTTCTTATGAATTTACTTTGAATGTAGGGGTTTTGGGGTTTTGGGGTTTTCTTAATATTTCATCGTTGA